ACCTCGTCTATAGTACAACTATTTTCAACGAACCATCGGTAATGTCGTGTGCTGACAAAGTACAGGAAAGTGAAAGGATTATCTGCCCACTTTATCTTCCTACGTATGTTGGCGCGCAAGACAAACATTTGATAGCAGTTAGGACGTTGCACATGCGATTCGAAATGTGGTTCGGCAAAGTTGGGCAAACTTTATTTCGAATAACGAATAAAGTCCCAGGGTTTATTTGTTAATTGAAATAAAATTTGCCCAACTCTGGTGCTGGCAGACATCAAAATTTGTTCGTTAATGGATTAAAAAGAACAAACATAAACAAAATTTTTAAAAATAATAAAATAGTAACAGTACAATATATCAGTAATTAAAAAATAAAGTATTGTTGAAGAAAATTACTGAAAGTTGAATTAATATTTGATGCTTCAATAATTATTAATTTTCTTTATATCAATATTTTTCAGTAAATCACAAAAATACATAACTTGTTAAAAAATTGTTTCACAACTACAAAACAGCATGTTACTATAAATTTTAAGTAAATGTGTATGTTTAGTAGTGTTGAAATATTAACAGGTTTTATAAATATTTTATGAAGTACTGTATAAATAATATATAGTTAGATAATGAAAATTTTCTGTAACATATTTAAACTTTTTAAGTACACTAAACATTATTTCAATAATTGAATTTTTGTTAACCAAGTATTAATTTTTTATGTACGTATGTTAATGTCTGTTTTGTGTTTTTATATTGCTTTGTAATATTACTTATTTTCTATTTAAAATTTAGCCATTGTTGCGAATATATATATTGCCCTTAAATATATTATATTGTGATGGATTTCACAAAACATAAGGTCTTGCAGTAATATATTATTGTACATTATTTAATAAGAATAACTAAATGTATAATATTTGTAGTATACAAATAATTATAATAGTAATACTTATGCCATATTGTACACAGAAAATAGTTATGATTTTGTGAGCACCAAAATTTGAACTTCTGTTCATTATAAATATGCATCACTTATACATTGAAAAGCTGCTTTTCAAAACTGTATACTATATTGTGTTAAAACAAGGTAGGCAATATATTATAATTCTTATTGTTGTTCTTTAAATTTAACCAGATACAAATTTAACACTCATTTGTCAATAGTTAACTATTTTTCCTGGGTGTTTAGAAATTGAAGTCTTTTAATGTATTTATTTAACATTTATTTAACATAAAATGTAAGATATTAAAACCTAGCAAAATTATACGATAAAAGGTTGCTTTAAATATTTTTAAACATGCTTTAGACAAAAATAATTAAATGGCTTTAAAGAATATCATTAATTGTTACTACCCATATTTTTATACACAATATATTATAATATTTCAGATTTATTTATTACTATTTATTTATTACTAAATATTTTTTAGAATAATTTATAATATTATACTC